TTTTTGTTTTTTAACGAGTAAACCTTTTTTCTTTACCTGATTAGCTATGCTTGTAGTACTGTAGGTTGATCCCTAAACTAACAGTATATGCATCACCTAGAAGCTTGTTGGAAATGCTGTATCTCAGGCCCAGTTCCAGACCTACTGAATCAGAATGTACATTTTAAAAAGATCCCTAGGTGATTCATATGTATAAAAAAGTTTGGGAAGCTCAGTGTTGTGTGTGTGTGTGTGTGTGTGTGTGTGTTTTAATAGACTGTTTTTACAAAGAACCAGTTTTGGGTTTATAGAAAAATTGTGCAGAAAGTACAGAGTTCCCATGTGCTCCCTCCCCCTGCACATCGTTTTTCCTATTAACATCTTGCATTCCTGAGGTCTGTTTATTACAAGTGATGAACCAATATCAATACATTATTATTAACTAAAGTCCATGTTGTTGTTGTAAGCTGCCTTTGAGTCAACCCCTCAGCTCAAGGCAATTTCGTGTACAAACACTGCCCAGTCCTGCCCCATCCCCATGATTGGTTGTGATTTGGAATGTTTGGCTGATTTTCGGAAGTAGATTACCAGGTGTTTCTTCCTAGTCTGTCTTAGCTGGAAGCTCCACTGAAACTCATTCAGCATCGTAGCCACCACTGAAAGACAGGTGGTGACTGAGTATGAGGTGCAGTGGTCAGGAATTGAACCTGGGTCTCCTGCATGGAAGGCAAGAATTCTACCACTGAACCACCACTGCTCCCATATAGTTTACATTAAAACCAGTTGCTGTTGAGTTGACACCGGACTCATGGCAACCCTATGTGTGTTAGAGTAGAACTGTGCTCCATAGGGATTTTAATGACTGATTTTTGGGAGGTAGCTCACCAGCTCTTTTCTTCTGAGGCACCTCAAGGTGTACTTGAACCTCCAACCTTTTGATTAGCAGCTGAGCACGTTAACCATTTACACCGCCCAAACCAAGAAAACCAAACCAGTTGCCATTGAGTCAGTTCTGACTCATGGCCACCAGAAGTGTATCAGAGTAGAACTGTGCTCCATAAAGTTTTCAGTGGTTGATTTTTTGGAAGTAGAATGTCAGGCCTTTCTTTCAAGGTGCCGCTGGGTGGATTCAAACCACCAACCGATTGGTTGGTAGCACAGGGACTCCTAAAACCAGGTGTCACTGGGTTTATTCCAACTCATGATGACCCTATGCGTGTTCACTTTTTAGGTTGTGCAGTTCTCTGGGTCTTCATCAATGCTGACTGTCATGTATCCACAATTACAGGACCATACAGAATGGTTTCACTGCCCTAAAAATGCCCTGCAATCCACCTCTTCATCCCTCCCTTCTCTCCCTGACTCCTTGGCAACCACTAATCTTCACTGTCTCCGTAGTTTTGCATTTTCCAGAATGTCATATAGTTGGAGTCATATAGTATGTAGCTTTTTCGGAGTGACTTCTTTCACTTAGCAGTATGCATTTAAGGTTCCTCCTTGTCTTTTCATAGCTTGATAGCGCTTTTCTTTATATCACTATATAATACTTCATTATATAAATGTACTACAGTTCATTTATCCATTCACTTACTGAAGGACATCTTGGTTGTTTCCTGCCTTTGCCAGTTGTGAGTAAAGCTGCTATAAACATTCACGTGCAGGTTTTTATGTAGACATAAATCTTAATTTCATTTGGGTAATTACCTACCAGTGAGATTGCTGGATTGAATGCTAGGCCTGTGTTTAGCTTTCTGGAAGCACTATCTTTTAAAAAACAGAGTCTTACTAAGAACTTCAGTATATAAAACAAATAAAATGGTGTTTAATTTAAATTCATACAGTACCTTTAAATTTATTTTTTAGTATTTAATGTTGATCAAAGAGTGCAGTGAGGCTATTTTGGGAAGTAAAATAAAACTGAAACTAGAGTAAAGAAGAAACTAATTTTTTTTTTTTTAATATGGAGAAAATATTGATTCCCAGGGATTACTGGAAGAAATAATAGTTTTCTTAATAGCTCTAGTTAATGATCTCTGCACACTTGAATTTAATTGGAAGCTTAGAAGAGTACAGTAGGAAAGTTTCATTTTAAATTGAGTCCCTAACCTAATAACTACTTATGATCACAACTACAAAAGTCAGACAAGAAGCAACTGTGCTGGGTTGAGTAGTGTTCCCCCAAAATTCATATCCACCTGGAACCTCAGAATGTGACCTTTTTTGGAAATAGGATCTTCGTAGGTATAATTAATTAAGATGAGGTCATAGCGGATTAGAGTGGGCTGTAAATCCAATGACTGGTGTCCCTATAAAAGGCCATATGATGATGGAGGCAGAGACTGGAGTGATGCAACTACAAGCCAAGGAACGCTAAGGATTGCTGGCAGCCACCAGAAGCTGGGAGACAGGCTTGGAACAGATTCTCCCTCAGAGCATCTGGAAGGAACCAACTCTGCTGACACTTTGATTTTGGACTTCTAGCTTACTGAACTGTGAGAGAATAAATTTCTGTTGTTTTTAGCCACCCAGTTTGTGGTAGTTTGTTGAAGCAGCCCTGGGAAACTAATACAACAACACCCAAACATAAAAACGCTAAAGTTTCTAAGGTAGGTTGCGCACTTAATTAGAATTGCATAACTTACCCTTATACAATGATGAGAACAAGGACTGAGAAGAGGTATGTGAGACTTGTCTGGCATAATGATTGTAATGTGTGTATTCTGTAATGTGAACCTATGCAGGCCTACATTTAAATTAAAAAAAAAAAACCTGTTACTAATCAATGACACATTTACAAGAAGTTCTCATATGCACAGAAAATCTGTACAAAACCGAGTTAACCCGTAGCACAAGGAAGGTGCGGTGATGGCCAGCATTCTCTTGACAGTAAGGTGCTACTAAAGCAGGAGCTGCAGGCAGACACAATTGTATTTTAGAACAGTACTGCTGGCAGTGTGAGGGGTAGATTGGAGGAGAGGTGTTTTAGTTATCTGTTGCTGCATAACAGATTACCCCACAGCTTGGCAGCTTGAAACATTTATTATCTCAAACAGTTTCTCAGAGTCAAG